GTAATTATTATTCATTGATATGAAAATTTAACACTGACCTGTTCTTTATCTTCGCTTTCCAATGATTCTGGAAAAAGTTTTACGTCATGTATTTCAATAGAATCTGAATCATCTTCTACAGGTTCTGAAGATAAAAGCTTCATTACATTTTTATCTACATTTTGTTTCGTATTTTGTAACGTAACAGAAGTTTGGCCGTTATTTTTTACACAAATTTTTTGTTCATTTGAACTCTTCACTAATTTTTTCGTTTTGCTTTGTTTTTTTACTTTGGATGTTTTTTGCTGTTGTTGTAATTGTTGTTGTTCTTGTTCTGGTAATTTTATCTTAATTAATAATCCTGGAGGAATACTTGATAAACTATTAACTGGTATCGGAGCACCAAGGGATGATATATCTCCAGTAAACGGCACTATAATCTTCTTAATGTTCGTCTGATTATTCGAAATATTTGAAGAAACATTATTAATCGTAATTGGTTGCAATTGATCTCCAATTTGAATCTTCCAATTGGTTGTAGATGGAAGAGGTAGTTTTTTTACTATTTGATTTTCCAAATTGATGGGGGCAAGTTTAGGAAGATTGATAGAGGTTGGTCTTCGAGATTTTCCTCGTTTTTTCGCTAATGGCATAGGTTTGTTGTCGATTTTAGGTTTCTTACTAGATACTAGTGGTCTGGAACGTCTGAGAATTTTAGGAATTTTCCTATCTTCTCCAAGATCCTGTTTATCTTCATCTTGATTTATAACATTTTCAGATTCGGAAACATCTTTAATTGTAGGTACTGCATCGCATGGACCGGCTTTGTCAAATCTCTGACCAATTTGAAAATGTTTTGAACAAAGCACGAGTTTGCGTATTTGATTAGGAGACATCTTGAGTAAATCTTCCCGACCTAAAAATTGACACCAACGCAAACATCGACCTATTTCATATGCCGGAAATGGATGAAAACTGTAATGATCAATCTTATTCTTCGGATCGGACTTTAATCTGCCACAAGCTGCACAAGCTTGGCTTTCCAATACCTTAGTAGGCAATGGTTCCAACTTTTTATTTTTATCCAAAGGGCTGAAAAGCTTTGGTTCAGTTTGAATCTCAGTAGTAAATGGCCCTGTTTGGCTCGATTGGTCTGGATCACGAATATTGGGAACTGCATTATCTTTTAATCTTCCTTTAAATCCTGGCATGAATTGTGAACGATCAAAATGTTTGGAACAGATATAACAGAAAAGAATTTCCTTCCTTGTTAATCTATAATAAGAATCCACGCCAACAAAATCCAACCATTTGAGGCAGCGGAATTCTTCTCCAGGAAAATGATGAAATGTCGTTCCATCATAACCTGGTGGAGGTGGATCTAGTCGTGTTCTCCCACAAAGAACACATATTATATTGTATAAACTTTGCTTAGGATCATAGACCGAAGGAACCGCAAACGAATTTAAACGGTCCATATATTCACTTAAGAAAGCTTGAGGTTCAAAATGCTTGGAACAGACCATACGTTGAAGAAGCTGCTTTTTTGTAAGTTTATAAAGGTCTTCACGACCGCAAAACTCTAACCAACGACAGCAACGAGCTTCGTCATTCACTGGAAATCCAAAAAACAAATACTCCTCCGCACGATTGTTGGGATTCATACGAGAACGGCCACACACAACGCAAGGATGTGGCATGATTGGAATATTATAATTTTTAAAAAATAGATAAATCTAGTTTTATTTAAAATTAAAATTGCAAATTTCAAAAACCAAACAGTTTTAAATCTCTTGTTCTCAACTTGAAATTGTGGTAAAATTTTTTAGATCTTTTTTCTTCATAGTTGAAACAATACACAAATATAAAAAAACTTTTAAGTCATTTTCATTCATAGTCTATATTTTTAAGCCTTTAACATTCCTTTTAGTTCCTTCTCAAAACTGAATTGTTAAAAGCTTTTTCTTTTTTGTAGTTTTGTAGCTTTGTAGTTTAAAATTAAAACTGTGGCTTCAAATATTTCTCAAAAGATAACTTTCTTCTCAAAGTTCTCTTCCTCTTCTTAATTTTTCATGATTTTATGTAAAAGGCGACTCCGAATTTCGAGATAGAATTTAATTGAATTCTCTCACTATATCCTTTTGTTACAACTGAAAATAATTCAAATCATATTAAAGATAATTATAACTAAGTAAATAAGTAAAAGAATAAACAAAAAGAATAAAAATATTAATTTATATTTTTTTATTTAAGCTACAACTTTAAAATAAATTATATTTGGTCAACTTTTGCTCATTAGATTTGATAGAGGTTAAGTTTTCTAAAAAGTTAAAAGACTATATTAATGTATATTAAGGTAGCAAAAAGTAATATTGAGGTTAAGAATGATTTAAAATTGATTCTACTGTCTCTCTAACAAATGCCACATAATTCATTGACATAATTGACATTTTTTTTATATTACATTTTATCGCCGTTTTAAAACTTAATTGATCATGAGAAATAGAATTATACATCTTACCTTTTTCATCAATTTTTTCTTGTGTGTGACAAATAAAATTGAGAGAGTATCTTCTTATTTCACTAAAATTCGCAAGTATCTGTATGTTATTGTAAATTTATTTAAACATTTTCGTGCACTTGTTGCGCTTTTGTGCAATTCGTGCGAGTAAGGTTATCTTACTTTGCGCAGCATTTGGAGATTGACACTTAACCTACAAATACTTACGGAACTCGAGAGCAGTGTGTCAACGAGATAAAATAATATAATAGAAAAATGTATATATGTATATATTCATATAATTAATAAGATTGATATTGTCTCTTGGGAAAGAAATATATCAATAAAAATAATGTTCATTTAAAAAATATAATGAAATATGTAAGTCAAGTGAATAATCAAAAAGTCAAGGGTTAAGTCAAGGATCAAGGATTCAGCCTATTGTTGAAAAAAGAATTAACAATATGGCAGAAAGCACTAATAATCCTTATGATATTAATGGACAACATTTCAATTCTGATATGTATTTTCAAAAGTTATTAAAGGTGAATCATCTTAAGTACATTCTGTAAACAACATTCATTCTTTATTTCTTTTTATTCTTACAAATTATTTTTATGAGAATAAATAAAATTATTAATGAATTAATAACATAATTAAATAAAATAATCATTTTAATTTAAAATAAAAATTAAAATGATATTTCTTTTAATTCTTCCAGAAAATAACATTTTTATATTTAAAGGAATAGAAAGAATTTTATACGTTTAATATTATAATAAAACAAAATATAAAATGCTTATATTTTACATGTGTAAAATGTTTATACTTTTTTTAGTTATAGTTATTATTTAAATTAATATTGTTATTTTATAGGAATGCACGCTAAAGCAAATCATGGATCATGAAGCAGAGATCATAAAAAATACCCAAGTTCTACATTCAGATATGCAGACTTTAGTATATGAAAATTATAATAAATTTATATCCGCTACTGATACTATACGCAAGGTAAAATATTTTTTTAAAAATTATTATATTTAGTTTTAATTTTTTATATTTTATATTTTTTTTTATATTTTTTATATTTTAGATGAAGACAGATTTTAAAGAGATGGAAGACAGCATGGATCTCTTAGCTAAGAATATGGAAAGCATTACTTCTTTTTCAGAGCAGATTTCTTCAACTTTGCATGGAACACGACAACAAATTGCTAAACTATCTTCTGTACATACTTTATTGAAAAAGTTGCAATTTCTTTTTAAACTGCCTGGAAATCTCAAAGACAAAATAAACGAAGAAAAATATGCAGAAGTATGTGTTACATTTGTTTATTTGTGAATATATAATATATAATGTTAAAAAATACAAAATTTTTATGTTAATCCCCAAATTATAAGTGCTTTCTTTTTAGGCAGTTCAAGATTATGTTCACGCACAAAGAGTTTTAAATCAATATAGCAACATGCCATCCTTTCAAGGTATCCAAAAAGACTGCGAAGACATTTTAGAAGAATTAAAATCTAAACTCAGATTACAATTTCATAAGAGAGATGCATCTACTAAGGCTTTAGCTGAAAATGTCGATCTTTTGCTGCAATTAAAGGAACCAGCTGATTCATTATGCACGGAATTCTTAATACATGCCGAAGGAAGATTAACAGAACAATTGGATATTTTGAAAGATATGTGCGAAAACGATATTATAGAATTCGTAGATATGGCCTCGTCGGGATTTCTTAGTGATTTATGTTTGATTGTAACTGCTTATAATAATATGTTTATAAATCGAACATTGGAAGATAATGATTTAATTGATGATTTTGAATAAAAGCTGTAGATCATTTGAATAAATTTATTGTGAGCAATATGAAGAAATATTTTGATTTGATGAGTAAAAGAGTAGAAGATGTGGCTGATACAGCAATTTTAGTGAGAGCTCTTGACAGATTTCATCGCAAACTGCAAGAGATGAATACGTTATCTAATGAAACAGACTTTGCTAGGTAATGAAAAAAGTAAATATATTACATAAAATAATTTGGAATATATAAATTATATATTATATACAATAAATTAATATATATAATTGTTTTGCAGAATTGGCACTGATCTTGTTGTGAATGCTGGCCGAAAACAATGTCGCAACCATTTGCACAGTTTGAAACAACATTTGAGCGAAATTTTGGCGAAAGTAAGACAGACTTTAGCCACTAAAGTCACACAGGATAGTGATGGAGGCTTAGCGGAACTTCAAGCTATGCTCATTATGCCTACTATAGAAAAGATTAAAGGAGTTCTACAGGATTTATTGGTTTGTCTTTATTTTTATTCTCTATATTTCTTATTACTACTTTTTATTTTTATTTTAATCTAATATAATTTCTTTTGTAATTATAAAGTTTTTTCATTGACAATTATATTTAATGTTTGTTCAATAATAATAAATATAGGTAAATGAAAACTAAAATTGATTATAATTCTTTCAGGTTTTCTTACAGCCTGATTTATCATTTAGTCTAAAAACACAATTTTTGCAAAGTTTCTGTGTGGATGAGGTAAGAGAAGGATTAGTAATTGGTTTTCTACATTATCTTACAGCCACAGTAGCAGGCTTCTGTAATGGATCTGATGTGCCAAAATTTCCGCCTACTCTGTTACTTTTACTCAGCAAAATGTGCATTGAATATAAGGAAAGCAACGTTCGTTATCTGGTATTTAAAAATTTCTCTATAAAAATGTTGAATCAATATGTTTTAATCAATTTTGACATCGTTATAATTAATAAATTAATATAAACAAAGATTTATAACTAAACATATACATACATTTACAAATGATATGATTATTTTATTTGCAGCTCACAACTATCGACGATCTTTTCAACATCGATCAATATACATCTTCAGAAAATATTATAACTCCTGGATCAGAAATGTGCGATCGCTTTCAAGAAGCTGCTCAGAATTTATTGAATCATTATGTACGAATTCAAGGACTGACAGTATCTCAAATGTTGAGAAAATCTGTAGAGACCAGGGATTGGTTGCATACAATTGAACCTAGAACCGTGAGAGCTGTTATGAAGAGGGTTGTCGAAGATGTAACCGCTATTGATGCACAAGTAGCTGCTTTATACGATGACAACGATGGTCAAATCGATAGAAGTAGTGACAGTAGTAGGAAGACTCATAGGTACAGATTTGATTTTGAACAATTTTTTTATTTATATACATTTAGTTTCTATATGAAGTTATTTGGATAATGTTGATAAAATCTAGAATCTAAATGTAATATTTAATTCTTCTGAAATTTATTATTCTTTAATCATTAAATGCTCAAGTTTGGAGTATATAATCCAAATTTTTCTAGTGTCAGCATATCTAGACAGCACTATCGGTCAAATTGGTCATCCTATACACCCAGTCATATCGATTCTTCTCTAGTAACGAATATCCACAAACTGTTCTCGGAACGAATTGAAATATTTTCGTCGGTACAATTTAACAAGGCGTCTATTCTAACAGGAATCATCAAAATAAGTTTAAAGGTAATATTAATAATATTCTCTTTTAATAATAATAGTAATGGAATAATATTTATAAAATGTTTATTAAGTATTACTTAATATATTTTAAATCATTAGAAAATACATTTTAAACCATTAAAAAATCCGTGCGAAGTAATACTTTTAGCAGGCAATGTACTGATATAATGATCGCAGGTACAGAATAGTCACAATGACAAAATAGCACGGTCATTATTCACTTTATGAAGTTGATTCATCCTTTCAACTCTGTCATCGTTCACTACGCAATATGTTTCATACTTTTACCATGCTTACAACTGACTGAATAAAAATTAAATAAAAAATTATTTTTTATATGTAATCATAATTTTTTATATTAAAATTAAATATGAAATATAATACAAGAGTTATTGATATATAAAAAAGTTATTATATAAATTTAGAAAATCACATAATTATTAATATTTTCTCTAATATTTTTTCTGTGTATGTATTAATATTTATAGACTTTCCTCGAATGTGTAAGATTGCGAACGTTCAGCAAGTATGGTTTACAACAAATCCAGGTAGACACTCATTATTTGCAACTTTACTTATGGCGATTCGTGTCAGATGAAAAGTAAGATTCCAATTTACATTAACTCTACAGCAAAAATTAAAATAAATGATTTATATTAATATTATTGTTTATAGTGTGGTTCACTTTTTGCTGGACGAGATTTTAGGCAGTGCAGTACATAGATGTCTGGACCCAGTTTTGATGGAGCCGAGTGTGGTCGACATTATTTGCGAAAGGGGTTGAATTATAAATAATTACAAGTTATCTTGTATAATTGCATATAGAGATGTATCACAGATAATATTATAGTTAATATAACTTATAAAAACATTAGGAAATGATAATTATAATAATTAAGATGTTTAAATATATATTATATAATATTTAAATAAAAATATAAAAATAATTAATATATTGAAGAATTAGATATAATTATGCAAAACAAACAGTTCAATTTATTATAATAAATAATCTCGTGAAAAATCTTCATACTTTCTTCCTTTTAATTTTCTCTCTCTTACATTACGAAATCGGTTTGCTATTTCATTCTTTTCTTCTGTTTGTCTCCACCTATATCTTGTTCAAAGTGTTAGGTGTAGTATGTGGTAAGAAGCAGCGCAGGGTCAAACGATTTTAATAAGTCTTAAGTCTTCTTTATCACATTCTGTACTTTCAAACTTTTCTCTTTCAAATGTTTCTTTTTTCTCTCTTGAGTTATTTCTGAGAAATTTTTATATTCCATATAAATGTTTCTTTTTACATTTTTTATGTATATATATATATATATATATATATGTACGTATATAATATATTATTATATTATATAATTATTTGTATTATTGTATTTATTATTAATTTTTATCTTTCAATATCTTTCATTTTACATAAAAATTAATTGATACAATATTTTAATATCTTTCATACTATAATTCATTAGAATATGATCGATTACTCAAGAGATGAATGAGGCACGACAAGTTTATCGTTTGTATAGGGTACCAGAGAGAACTTGGTTGCAGTCCCTTGGGCAGTTATTCTCGACTTAATTCGGACTTCCTCTCTCTTGGGATGAGATTCATTCGGCGAGTATCCGGCCTGGGCCCACGCACCGCATTCTATCCAATTTAATAACACTCGCTCCCTTGGATCGCTTTCGGCAAACTGACTCCATAAAATATTGATTCTGAATCTTTTTTCTAAAAATATTCCTTCCTTATTAATGCTTAGTCAGCATTCTGATTAGTCAGCAAAAAAGAAATAATATATTTCACACATAATGAATGATAATTGATTCATTATACATAAAATATTATATTTAAAAAAAGTAAATAATAAATATTACGTAATATAAAAGTATCAAAGTGGAATATAATTTTTTTCTAAAAATATGTTTCAATTTTACAATAAAAACTCATTTTTAATAGTTTTAATATTTTTGTTTCAATGTTTTTTATCCCTTCGTTTTGAAAATTGAAAAATGTTATTGACCTTCTCCTTTTTAAAAATTTCTTGAAAATCGATGATACAAAACTAAAATTTCATATATCACGATCATCGAAAAATAATATTTATATATGAAAATAATATATACAAAATAAAAAGGAAAAACTTTACAAACGAAGAGAATATAAAATTAAGTTTAGCTTGAAGAGCATTGAGGTGAGATCTCGAATAGAAAATGATATCAGAAACAAAGAGACAAACAGACATATGGCAATAGGCACACGTGATATCTTGAGAAACACCTGTGCATGTGTAACATGTTGGCAATTTCCCGTGGCATTCCATTTGAAGCCTCTGCCATATAGATACCAATCGTACTCTTACGACGTAGTGAATTGATACTTATGTGAAACGTTCGTTACCAAAAATTGGAATAAGGAAATTGGCTCACGATTCGTAAATTGTCTGCGTAAAGTATTTAACATTATATATATTATATATACGTATTAGAAATTAGAAATATAAACAAAATATTTAATAATAATAAATTTCATTGAAAATTTATTTTAAATATACTTTATCCTTAAAAAACAGTTAATACTTTGATTTTTAGCTTTTGAATTGATTATTGCAATTTCTCGAAGCTGTTTTTTTTATATTTAATTATAATTATAATTTATATTAATTTATTTATATATCCGATCAAAGGGTGACAAATGAGAGAAAAAAAGAACAAAAAATCGGCATTGTATACTAATATGCTTCACTTAGATAAAATAGGCCCGCATGGGAAAGTCACGGGATCATAAAATCGCTATGATGTTTCGAACGACGCTGAATATTAAAGTTTGAAGTGTGACATAATTATTTTCAAAGATTTTTATTTTGAAAAATAAAATTTAAATGAGATCATTTGCCAATTTACAACACTTTTACGTATATCCTCTGCCATATGAATTTCGTGTGTCATAATTATCTGTGGAGAGAAGTGCATATATATAAAAATATACATATAACTCTTTTTAAACATGTGCTAATTTTATATGCCAATTTTATTTCAGATTTTTTAAGCAGCAATATCACTTTTACGGAAATAGTAAAATAATAAGGATATTTCGATTTGTGACCGTAACAATGGGCGAAGCATCGTTAGAACGCTCATTGATGCGTTCACAAGTTTAACTATCCTTTTCACATCTGTTGATCATATTTAATATCTTCATGAAAAATGAAGAAGTATATATCCGGACAAGAAAATAAACTTGTATGATATCAATTTAGAATAGTATGGTATCAATTTAGATATTCTTTGGATTCATTGTAACTATACATCTATACATATATACATCTACTGATGCGTTATTTAGAAATCGTCATGAAGAAATTTTATTCTTCTTGGTGATAAAGTATTTGGCAATATGTCAGAAGAACTAATAAAGAAATTATCAAAAAAGATCATTTAGTAGCTTATTTGCATGCTAAGTAGTGGTGCCGTAGGTGATAATTTAAACAATTCACTTCGGCACAATTACTTTACACGCTAGTAGGCATAACCGACGTCATGTTATAATTTTATATAAAATACTGAAGTTTCTTATTATTCTTGGCAAAAATACAAGCAAAAGTTATAAATTCTGTGCATTAAATTTCCTTAATCTTTAACTTCTTCTGTTTTATTAATTTTTGAATTAAATTTTTTCAATTTTTCATATCTTTTTTTTATATTTCAGTTTTGGCAATCAATAGATTATAGGATTATGGATTTAAGTTGTGACGAGAAGGCGCAATCTCGTCGCGGAATTTAAATGAAGGCCTTACCGGACCGGTGAATAGTTTGATAACAGCTCCCCCCTTAATAGATAAGGGGGAAAGGAGGGACAAGATCATTCGCCGTCGGTTGGTGGACTATTCAGTGCTGCGACCGACACTGATTTCAATTGGTAAATTGACTCAGAATGGGAGAGTGGGAGAGAAAAAAAATGGCGGCGCGGAGTGACCGACGATAAAGCCACGGAAGTAGGGGAAAAGACAGTGGCGTAACTAGCATTAAAAAGATTTTTTTATTAAATATTTTATTTTATTTCAGTTTGCTTCTGAATTCTCAATTATATATCATTATTCTACTTTATTTTTTATAGAAATTATAAGAGAGGCAAAGGACGGAAAAACGGGGAAAAAAAGATAAAATAGAGAGAGAGAGAGAGATTTTTCTCGATGTTTTTCATAAAAATTAAAAATTAAGGACTTTTGCTGTTAAAACGGAAAGATTCTGAAGATAAGATAATCAAAGAGATAACGCAAATGGTTGAGAAAAATTGCTATTAAAAAACAACGATAGCCATGGATATCTCCTTTCTCGTCACCGTGCAGTTGGTTAATAGGCACTGAACGCCGTTTGAATGCTTAATGCGGCGCGCATTCTAGGATTAAATTGACCAATCATTTCCCGCGCGCACAGCGGAGCCAATTGCGCCGCGCGCTCGCGCGCTCTACTATATCAAGCCAATCAACAGCACTTAGCACTCAGTCGTCGTCGCGCTGCTGCGCCGTGCGTGTTACGGCAAGTTGTGTTGTGTGCGTGCGTGCGTGCGCCACTATATCAAGCTAATCAAGCGTGCACGGCGCTCAGTCACTGCGTGCTTCGTCAGTGAAATTTTTTTTTATACCGTTCCTAGTAGAACTGTAAAACACGCGCGAGGGTAAAGCTGCGATTCAGCACATTCAGTGAACGAACGAATAGAGTGAATGAAGAATGTACGTGAGGAGTTGTTCACGTTAATTTATAACGATGAAAGAGGTTGACTTTTGCAAAAAAAAAGATGGTATATTTGTAAAGAATTTAATTATTATTATGTTTATACACATGATATTAGAAAGTCGTTTTCTATTTATTCATAATTTTTGGATTGAAAATTATTGTTATATGTTTGAATTTATTGCGTCAAATTTGTTGAAAATATCTCCTATTTAAATATCTTTGTACTTTATACCGAAAGATTAATCTTCGAAAAGTGATAATTAATTCTGTTACATACGTCAATATATTTATCAAAATTTTTATTTATCTATCTTAAGTGCACGTATCTAATATATTAATATATTTACTAAAATATTTATCTACTCTTTTACATCATTTTTATAACTTATCGTAATTATTACCAATTTATATATATAAAAAGAGATCCGTATTTGCGTATTTATGAGATAAAATATTACAAAATATGTAATAAGATATATAAAGAATATGTAAAGATAACAGAAAGGGCAATTATATATTAATTAATTAGAAATTATTAAATATAATAAATATATAATAGGAAAAGATATGCACCTAATCTTTAAAAAATTCTGATTACAATATAAAATTTGTTGCGAGCGACGCGGTAAAAGGGTTAAAGGTTACTTATGACTTCCTGCGATTGTTTCGGCAAGAATGCGAGAAACGCATTCTTGAAATATATGGATAGCAGTTACTAATTGAATGTAAGACACAGATTATTTGTTTTACAAGCATTTGAGTTAATATGTTTAAAAATTAATGACAGTTTTTTTTAGATTTTTCTATAATTATTAATATTATTATTTTTAGTTTGCATAAATCTCAAATTAAAATCCTCTTTTCACTTTTAATCAATTTTTATTATTTTATATTCTTGAACAATCTTTAATCTTTTTTAAAATTTTTCATCATTGTATTAATAAAATTTTTGGCTAATTAATAATTATTTTGAAAAGTTTCAAGATATATTTTTTTTACTAATCTTTATTTTTGAATACAGCGCATTGAAATTAGAAAATATATTTTGTTGTTCCAGAAATATAATGCGCTCTGCTCTTTTCATATATTCACATACACATATTCCTTATTCCTTATCGCGATGACTTCTTCACCTCGCACAGACGATAGTATAATGTATAGGACATAAGAGAAATAAGATACGACTAGGGTCGAAATACCAATAATATGTTCTATGAGAAAGTATTTTGAAAAGAGTCATTGATAAAACATTTTTTATATCTATTAATTTTGAGT